TACTTTATAAGCTTTAGTTACTTCTCATACCTTTAGTTCCCTTTAGTTACCTTTCGTAACTTTATCTTACTTATTTATGCATATTACAACTGTATTGATGATTGTCCAGAACTACTGAGCTTTGGTTATTTTAATACATTTGTTTCCCTTGCTTATATATCTTACAGCTGTAAGATAGGAAGTGAGAGAGGAAGTGCAAGAACTCATCCTCTACTATAATTTTACCATCAAGGGTTGTATAAACCTCAGGTTTTAGTCGATCCTGGGCAAACACGGGAGCTCCAGGAATACGTGCACCCAATACGTCAGCCATCTTACCTGATAAATATCAGCTTTCACATAGAAGCTTACATATAGGACCACAGCAACGAAGACTCAGCTTACATGCCATTATTTTATGTTATTATTTCAGATTTTGCCCTAAGTACTCAGCTCTGGGCTTTCCCTGGAGGGGGTGGTATGGGGGTCCTCTCTCCTCAACAGGGACATTTGATTTAGGTTGACATGATAAAAATCGTGTCAAAAGGGGGAATGTTATGTTAGGTTATTTCTTAGTTAGATAGATATGGATTAGAGATCTGTTGTCTAGAAATGTTTAGTGCAGACAGGGTGACTAGCTTTGCTGTAACTATTCAGCCTGCAGTGAGGACTGCAGGCACGCCAAGGTTACAGGAAAAGAGCTTTTAGGGTCAACTGTAATGCTAGTCTTAATATTTGTCTTAATGTGTAAGGTTATGTCCAATTGTTTAGATACACACCACGAAAACAACAGTCACGCACCTTGACTTTGCCTCATGTTTTGGCTAAACGACAGAGCAGCTGCAAAGCTTGCTTATCGGGTGGCGTCACGGTTTGACGCCCCTTGTAGCATGGGCTAGCCCAAAAATGATTAATATTATATAGGTTGTTGGGTCCAGACATCTTCAGCTTTTCTGCTGCCTGCAGGCAGAGGGGTGAGAGAGCTCTGGACGTGTAATGTGAATTTTACCTGTGATCCTCTGAATAAACCAGCACGGTTATTTTTTATAAAATCTAAAGCAGTCTCTTTCGTCTCATTGAGAGTTCCTGGTTTGAAAGAACCGGAAGAAGCTACAAAGAAATAATAGCTTATAGTTAGATATTAGTAATTGTTATACCTTAATGTGTTAGTAATGCAATTTAGTAAGATTCAAAGTCTGCTCTAGTCTGTTTTGTTTCAAGGTTAGCAGACAGTATGTTGATTCTGAAAAGTGAACCATGACACCAATTGTTTAGTTGTATTAAATCTTGTGTTAGAATATTTGGCTCCTTTCTCACCTAGCTGGCCAATCACAGAGGATACGAAGGGGGCTTCCCAAGCTTTTCAATCATCTAACAAGCAACTCTGATGAAGCATACTGGCACCTCAAAGATAATAATAAGACCAGATAGCTAGCTACTGCAGCTACATCATCACAAAACAAGCCATGAAAGCCAATTTCAACCTAACTCCT